TACGGCTCTATAGAGAGTATGTGCAGGATAATTCAAGCAAGATAAAAAAAAGAAAAGATGAAGTGCACTCGATAAAATAAAATTCGAATAATTTGTCTATGTACTAATCGTAGTCGTGTCGTATTAATTTTTGTAATTAATTTTAATTGTATGTAATTGATATAGCTTTTTTTTTTATTTCATCTATTCTATTAATCGTTCTGACTCATAATACAGGTTTATCTAAAAATTGACGATAGAATGGAATCGCAATTCTGATTATGTAAGTATTCCTGTTATCTTGACAGCGTTCCTAAAAGAAACTGATTGATCGATTTCTTTGAAAGTGTAAGAAAATTGTCGATTGTTTATGACACGAACTAAAATTCTGATAAAAATATAAATTCACTGGAGAAACAAATGATATCGAGTTACGATCCCGTTGTTCCTGTACCTGGAGTACCGTAGTCCGCTCAGAAACATGGGATTGATTATTTAACGGTAGGAGGGTGTGCAACTTATCGCTCCCATTGCAAAATGGGTCGTCGACGCAATGCAGTACATCGTTACACATACAGATGCACACATTCAATGAAACCTTGAAAATCGAAGAATCCTACTATGAACGCCATCTTTGGGTACGTCCGTGAACGTGACAGTTGCGATCCTAAAATTTTATGTATATAAACTAACCCTGTAATGTCCCTTCATAGATCTATAGATCGGTCATTAAGGTTAACAAACTATTTACAAAGACATCTAAATAAAAACTACTGCACCTCGATCGTACTCGCGTGCTATCGTAATATTCAGCAGTAAGTTATGGATCAAGAGAAGCATAAACATTTCGTGTACAAATTATAATATAACGCATAGAAATTCTTAAGAACATACGCTCCGATGTTTTAGCTCTGAATTAGGATACTGACGTTTTCTATTTCGTCGATACGCGAATGTTACGAAATCGATGTACCTACATTGCTAGAAACGAGGAAACGGAATATTTGCTGGCGACGAGACGAATATAAGAAATATAAGAAAGAGGAGATTCGCGAGAAAGAACGCGAAAAGAGAGATATCAACAGGCACGGTAGGGAGAGTCGTGGATAAAGCGGACGAGGGTACATCGCGTCCATGGTCGGTAGCGAAAGGGATCGCGAAGGGTCGCGTTTAGTCGCTGGTCGCGTCTATAACAGCTTAAGCCTTAAGGTAGTAGCTGACGGTGGTTTGTCGTTGATATTTGTCGGGGTGGGAGGATGAACGGTGCTGTCGCGAAGAAGAAGCAGGGCGGGGGACGCGGGTGACCGGGTGCGGCGGGGTGCACGGGCATGAATCGTGGAGCGGGCGGATGGACGGACGGACGCAAACGCTGAAATCAGCTCGGGCGATCGATGCGATAAATGGATGCGTGCGATTGGTAGCCGGGAAAATCGATGATGAACAGGGGGGCACCCTACCTAGCCGCGAAAGCGAGCGAGCACGGCTGCACCGCCGGAGAGGATGGAGCAAAGACCGAAATATCGATTTTTAGGCCCCTACGCGGCGGTTCGATGCTCATATCTGCCCCGTGTCCCGTATCCGCGCGAAGCGCCTTTCAAAACACCAACGACGCGTGCGAGACACACCGTAGTGACGCGGATCTCGTCCGGGAATTATCGTGCAATTAAATACGTGGGGATACGCCGGAGTGACGTGCGTTTCCCAAGTACTGGCCGATGTCGTCAGGTAACCACGCTGACGACCCTACGACGCGGTTAAAAATGAAAAAGCTTCGGGGGCCGTCAGATTCCCTTCTCTCTCTCTTTCTCTTGACGTTCGTGCGAGCAGCGGTAATATCATGCAACCTGAACGGGGGACAATCAATGATCCTCGACGCGGAAACGATCTAAGATCGCTGCATTTCCAAGTGCCGTCAACGGTGTTAGACGTCTCACGCGAAACGATTCGTCTGTATGATAAATGTTCTGTTGTGCGCTGTCTGTCGTCGAACAAACGTCGAGATCGAGATGAGGGTGTGAATCGGGGTAGCAAAGAGTGCGCGTGATTATTTCGTTTAACGTTCGCCTGATGGTATACGGACTCGTTTGAAAATCTCGTTGAAATCGGCTTCTCTGTACGTGGTTAGACGAATAAGGGATCTTCTGTCAGTGCTACTTCCTATGATAACGTGAACCATTGCAAAAAGAAACGTTGACGAGTTAAAAAGTAATCGTTTGACGCCACGGACTGAATTCGATCGAGGACAAAATATTCGCAACTATTATATTTTCGAAGCTATTCATCCGGAGACGAAATAAGAAATTATATCGATTTATCGCGTGATTGTAATAAAACGACAATTATTTGTTTACCATTAATTCTTTGATGTTTGGTGGAAACGATTAAAGTATAAAAATTGCGATTCCGAGACACGACCAAACAAGAGTTTTAGTCCAGTTTGAAATTTAACATTTAAGCACTTTCATTCATTTTTTTATACATAATTTACAAGATCTCTGTACCAAATACCAAACAATTATCGGCGAACGGTTTAATTTTAAAAATACAATCAGTTATTCGCGTACGCGATTCTCCTATCGTAGAAACATTGTTTTTTTTTTCCTTTTTAATATTTATTACCTATCGCTTTATCAATTCGTTATGTTCGTACGACGCATAAACATCATAAATATAAACGAACTCGAACGACGCAACAGGCTTAATGATACGCCAAGAAAGTCTATGTACAAACAAGTATACTGTTCCGTTGTTAAATATTAACGAATTCTTCTCTTTTGTATGGTGCAGAAAAAATGGCCATCGCTGCTTCGGAGAATTATCAACTTAAGTGGCACAGCTATGGCGCGCATTTGCACAGCTCTGTCGCGACGTTACTGCACTCAGAATCCTTCGCAGATGTCTTATTAGCGACGTCCTGTGGCCGACACGTGGCGGCTCATCGATTTGTCCTTGCCGCTTGTTCGTCGTACCTAAGCCACATTTTTCAAACATGTCATTTCGGAGCGAATACAAACGCTCCGATAATTGTGGTTCGTTTACATACATATATATGTATATATACTACGCCCATACATATTAATCTTGTGATAATCATTTAAAGATTTTACCTTTGAATAAATGATACATCGCGCTAAGTCCACGCTGCAATGTAAACTTGTATTTCAGGTATTACCGACTGAAATCGGATACCGCACGCTGAAGATCCTGATTCAATACATGTACAGCGGAGAAGCTACCGTGACGAACGATCAACTGGAGGGTGTACTGAAAGCCGGTGATATACTACGCGTTCGTGGATTATGGAGATCGAATACCGGCAGTAAAAAGGAGAACATACAATCGAACAACCAGAAGGTCGATCGGGATAAAAGGGAGCAACCGCCGTTAACCGGTCAAATACAAAAGATTAAGTTGGTTCACCCGTCGACGGAGAAGGTAGTTGAAAATGTACAACAGACGACACCGACGCAAAACAACGTTCAACCTCAAAAACCTACCTCGGAAAGAAAGAGTATCGAGAAGATCGACGAGAAGATCAGCGAGCCGGAAACTAAGAAAGTGTTGGAGGAAAATAAGAATAACGAACACAACAAAAACAAGGAGAATCTGGAGGCCAACGGGAAGAAAAGAAAAACAACCGTCAACAGCGATGTAGAATCCAATAAATCTAAAAGCGAGGACGGTGAAAATGTAAGATGATTGTATATATGTTGAATGGGAATAAAAGGTTTCATTGTTTTTTATGGATTTCAGACGGAGTTGAATCTGGAGCTTTTAGTAAAAGACGAACCAATCTGGGAGGAAACTATTGATCCATCGGAATCACTGACGATAGACCATGAGATTGATATCAAACCGGTACGCGTTACTCCGAATACGTTCGTTTTATAGAGAAAAAAAAAGTATACGATATGGAAATTATATATTTGTAGGAAATCGTACACAGCGCGGACGAAGAGGAGGAGTATACGCCATTAACGTGCGACATGTGTAGTCAAACGTTTAATCGGCCATCCGATTGGGTGAGACACATTGAATTTACGCACGCTGATATGACTGAAAATCGAAGGAAAAAAAGGAAGGTAAGTATAGAAAAGATATTACCAATAATTTCAGGTATTACACGATGGTAACGGATCTGTCGTTTTATAGGACGATGTAGATGACGACAGCAAGGATTTTCCACCTTTAAAATGTGACCTCTGTGGTAATATGTACTCGACGCCTCAAGAATGGGTACGTCATATACAAACGGAACACACAGAAGAGCAATTAGCCTTAATGAACAACTCCGCACCACCTAAGCCAAAAAGAGTTCACAGTCATCAAAAATTGTGCAACATTTGTCAAAAAGAATTTCCAAGCCACGCATCGATGGTAATTCATCAAAGAACACATACAGGGGAGAAGCCTTTTCTCTGTTCCTATTGTAAAAAAGGCTTTAATGTAAAAAGTAATTTGCTAAGGCATCTAAGGACATTGCATGACAAGTATGTACATCCCAGTTTATATGGGAGTAATGGTAACTCGAATGCTTAAGCCCTTATAATTTTCCGATGTAAATGTTCTTTTTCTTGTTAGTATCTCATTTGCAAAGTAAACGTCACGCACTACTCTAGATACTTGTGAAATCATGCTCACAGACTGAAGGTATAACATATGCATTGATAATCCTGCATAAGCATATTAAATTGGTCCAAAGAATTAGATGTTATCATAGTGCGCGTGGCATCTTCTTTGAAAATGAGCAACCGTTCAAAGCTGGACAAATTTTCTTAAAAATTAAACGAACAATTTGAAGTATACCTTTCGCGCATTAAATTTCGTAATCTTATTTACTAATAACAACATGTATTCGACATTCTATTATATCAATGTACGAATGATTATTTTACTTTTAAATTCGAAACTATTTTGTTAAAAACACAAAAGCAATATCAGGGCTTTAAAACCAAAGAGGCTGATTACTATTGCCAAAGTGTCTTGTTTTGTTGCAACTACAATTCATTTTTTGAGTATAGGCGGCATACCAAAAGTATTTATTTTGATTAGAAGTTTCATTTAAACATGTATGAATAAGAATGACGATATACAGGTCTTCGCAGTATGTGCGTGTAAAATAATTCATAGTATAAATCAACATTTATTGATTAATATTTAATTATTTAGTAACTATACGAGATCCAAATTGTGTAAGATTTAACTGTATACTTCTAGGCTATTCCATCCATGGTAGCCCTCTTATTCCCTCAGCTCGTAAGCTAATTATGTATTTTTATATTAAACTAGCTTATACACAAAAGGTATAAGAAATAAGATAACTAAAGTAAGTGAAAAATTTGAACTTCAATTAGGCTAGGATATAAGGATAACACATAATTCAAAAATTTATCAAATGTTTTGGAAATATATTGAGTTCTTCTTACATATAAAAAAACGCAATATTATCAAAATATTGTCACAGTTTATGAAACGGTAACAATATAAATCTTACGAGAATGACACCATATTACCATGTTAATCATGATCGTGTCACTCTACTATGAATCTTAGTGTCAATTCTACGTTGCGCTAACACTGTGACGAGCCAAATGACTTTTAAATGTAAAATTTAAATATATTACCTTCAAAGTATTTTTAATCATCCTTAATCGTTCCTTAACAACGAATATCAAAATATACCTTCTCTTTCACGACGATAGTGCTATTATTTTGTTAAGTAAAAATTTGAAGATTCTTAATCCCTAGTACCATGATAAATACAAAACTAATGGAATCATGGTATTTATATGAAATTAATCAATGTTATGTTACACGGGATTAATAATATTATAGCTTATACATCAAAGTAAGTCTACAGGATGCTTAATTTTCTTCGTCGTCATCAATTTTTGGTGCCAGGTAATATCTAATATGTCCAATATCTCCAATTTTGTATTCGCATACCAAGGGCACATCGTTAGACATAGACAGTTGTACTTGTGGACAAAGGGGACCAGCCTTTATAAAACAGTTAAGGTAACGGCACGAAAATGTTAATTTTACTGGTTCTTGCATATTGACGACAACTGCTTCATCCTCGTTGTCGGCATCAGCTGTTTGTGCTAACTTAATAGTGGCTAAAAAGAACAATATCTTATGTAAATATACTCTAATAACATTCTAACAATGTTAATTGTATAGATATATTTTTTCATTTTACAAGGGGAAAGGGGCATTTTTTGTAAATATAAGCGTATAGATAAGAATGAGCATGAATACATACATAATCTTGTTTTTACAGATAATACAAGGTTGAATTAAATAGAAAAGAAATTAAAGAATGAAAAACTATACAATTAACGTAAGTACATAAATCACAATATAAAGAATATTCACTTATTTAATATAAAAAATTGGTATACCTTGTCCATAATCTCCAGAAGCACTAAACTTTATACCCTCTTTAGAACATGCAAATGTTATCGATTCTCCAAACTGACTTAAATCTCTACAGATACGTGAAAATTCTTGGGATGGCATCCTTACAACACATGAATATGAGGTATCCTAGTGTAGTAAACAAAGTACAATAATAGTTGTATATACATTTCCTACCTTACAAGTAAATAATGAAACAACATATAACAAAAGATCTTACAGGAATACCAAGGTGTTCCTGATCCATGTTTATAAGTTTCATTTCATACTCAGCCAATTTTTCTTTGTTCGGCGATTCAAATATAAATATAATATTCTCTGGATTATCTAATGCTCGTAAAGTTACTGTATCTTCTGCACCAGCACATCGTAGGATTTTAGACATACTAAAAAAAATGTAATATTAAAGAATCTTGTAACTCTTTGTCATCGTTTTCATAAACAGTGGATAAGATCATTTCATTGTTATATTACTTAATTATTTTAAGTATCACGAATGTCGTTTATTAAATTCCTTTTACAACAAAATTTGATATTGTTAAACATTGTTAAACAGAACAAAATTCTGTCATGAAAGAGTACATAACCTTTGCAACATTCTATTCTAATTTGTATCGAATCTTACCATGCGACGCTCATACCCATTGACAAATTCCTGTCGCATCTGTATTTGTCAAAACCATCGCTTCTCAGATTAAGGGAAACTAAAGAGACGTGAGCATTGTCCATAGCTTGGACTTGAATACCAGAGTCGGAGCATTCGAAAGTAGCTTCGGTTAAAAGATCCTTTATTGCATCTAACACTTTCTTCAAAATCGCACTTTGTACCAAACGTGCCTCAAACATTTTTTCAGTTCACTTTCTTCGACTATTAACGTGTGGAAAGCAATAGAAATAAGTAGAAACTGGTCAGATGCAACAAGTACCGCAAGTTACAAGAACCGTCGAGACCAGTAACATTGGTAACAACCGCGTTTTCTTACCGCCAAAATAAGAATGACTAGGAAGTAGATGGCATTAGCGAAAACCGGAAATACATTTAATTTTTAAATCAAACGATATGTACTATTTCCTAGTTTGCTACTTTGTAATTAAAATTAATGCTTTCAAATTTGTTCATATGGTTTAGACTTATTCATGACAGTAAAACACGTTTGAATGTTATATAAATTCTAATCTGATAATTTATTGTACATAAAAAACATTTTTTTCAATGTACCATGTGATTTGTGGTATATATCAAAATCTTAATTATCGAAAACCTTGATTCGAAAATGTATGTGTAAATGTATCGATCGCATTGTAGATTGATTGGGAAGAACGAGGATCAATGTAATGTAATAATTAGTTTTCTCTTTCGTGTATCAAACGCGTACTTTTGTGTTCGTAAATGTTTAACAAAAGAAATAACGAAGATTAATACAAAGTATAAAATATTCGTATAAAAGGAATTTCATAAACGACATTCGCGCTATTTAAAATAATTAAGTAATACAAAACTTAAATGTACAAAATAAATAAGTTCTAATTGAAAATACAGAAAATAATTTTAATTATATTCACAATTGCTTACATAAAAAATTTTGTGTAAGCGTAGAAATTCGTAGGATTAAAATACTAAGTATAAAAGTATTTAGACGCGACTCAATCATTAACATTGTACTTAAATAAATGCAGTCTCACTCGTTACGGTTTAGAACTATTTACACATTCTGTATGAAATAAAATTTGTTAAAAATAGAATACTAATTAATGTGGGAATAGTACACGGTCGTAAAATGTATTAAAAACTGATATCACCAGCCATATTTTCCAATTCACTGAACATCTGATCGAGATGCTGAAACAAAAAATCATTTCAAATTATCTGCACTTCAGAACAAATAAAATTCGTCCTATTTCTCCATCGTATATCATAAAATGTGTTGAACATACATCAGACGGCTCGTTGTCTTTTGTAATTTCTTTTGGCTTCTCATTACATGATAATCTTCCATCTTCATTTATTTCTTCTTCATCGTCTTCTTCATCGTAATCATTTTCATTATCATCGGAATCATCGTTCTCTTCTTCATCATCATCGTCATCGTCATCATCATCCACATCGTCATCTATATCTTCATCAGACCGAATATTACACGACATATCAATTTCTTCGTAATCCTCTGGTTCTTCTTTAATCTCTGTAATCATTATCGTTTCCGTAATAGATTTCGTTTCAGTCGGACAAGGTGGTGGTGCTTCTGACGCTGAAGGTATTTGAGGTGGTTGACCAGTCTAAAATGTTATTTATTTGAAATAATTTCATTTAAAATAATTTGTTAATCAACGATATTTATATGTGTTTACCCATGGTTGTTGCTGTTGTAACTGTGCTGTCTTAGCTGATGCAATCGAGGTTGATACAGGGGAAGAAGGAGACGAAGATTCCAAATTCGTATTTTGCTCTTGATTCTGAGATGATGTTTTATTGGGATTATCTTCTAACCTACTCTCTACGTTAGTTTCTAACTTTGATAAATTCTTATCAGCATGATTAGCCTTCTGTTCTTTCTTTACTTGTGAATTACTATTTGGTTCCTCTTTAACTTTTTTAACATTTGGTTTAGGCTCACCAGGAAGACAAGTATTACCACGCTGTCTTCTAAACCTAACAATAATACTTCTGGTATCCCACATTAAATCATGTGCTTGTTTATAAGCAGATATAGATTCATCTACACTATTATACCTAATAAAAGCATAGCTGCAAAGCAAAATAAATATAATATATATTACAGAAATATATATAAATTAATACAAAATATTTAATGTAATAAATAAAGCTCACCGGGTATTTCTCATTTTCTGTGCATAGCCTACATCTACACGAGCAGCTGTCGGAAACTTACTTTTTACTTCATTAACATTAACAGATTCTGGTAAATTTCCTATATATAACGTGTAAGGATCTATTTCTTCAGGCATTGGGTTATCTTCATCCCTTAGGGACTTTCTTTCAACTTTTAAATGACCTACCCCAAAGGGTATCTTTTCCAACTCTCTTATAGCTTCATCGATATCAACGCTTTCTGCCATCTGTATAAAACAGTATCTAGGGCCGCTAGGGCTTTGAAAATGTATATTTTGTATACCAGGATGAAATTCTCTAACGATATCTTTATTTAAATCAGGATCTGGAAATTTGATTATTAAGCTCTGAGCTTTCACTGTTTTGTTGTATTCATTTTCAATTTTCAAAGCTCTTTCTGCATCTTCTCGATTCCATGGTCGACTAGGATAACTTTGGGACATAGGTTTCCTTTGTTTATTTTTTTTAACTACAACTTCTTCCTAAAATAAAAAAAAACCATATAGTATAAGTAAATAGTAAACGACATTAATACAATTGCACTTACTAAAACAATTTTAACATCCTGATCTGATGTTTCTTCGTTATGTCGATTTGTTAAAATTCCTGGGGGAATGGGAGGTAGAGCATGATTGGGAAGAGGAACAGGCATGTGATTCAAAATAGCTTCGCTTGTAGATGTAGTGTAATTATTTCTTTGCCATTCCAAGCCAAGACTATTGCTTAATGTGGCACCAAAGTATGCTGCTTGCTCAAACTGACCCTGAGATTGTCCGAATCGTGCAAGTCTTCTATTTTTACGATGAAAGTTACTTCTTTGAATATATATATTGTTTCTATTGTGATTAAACCTTTCGCGTCTCATATAGTTACCTCTTAGAGGCATTTCTCTTTGAAATGAATTTGCGGTCATATCACGTGGAGGTGGAGGTGGTAGGGGTGACGTTTGAGGTGTTATCCATTGCCATGGTGCTGAAGGATGTGTCCATGCTTGAATTTGTGTAACTTGAGAAGGCACTGGTCCAAATATGTGAGGGGGAGGTGGAACTCCACTAGATGGTGGAGGCATAGGAGGTAGCGGTGGTTGTCCAGGTAAAGGTTGCGTGACAGTTGAAGGAGATGAAGAAGATGATGTATAAGTAGGATAGGAACCTTCGTATCCAAAGCTGACATATTCTTGCTTAACAAAAGATCGTTTTGTTTCTCCATTTTCTTCGATTATCTGTAAAGTAAACAATTATGAATGAAAAATGTGTAACATAAAAATAAAAATTTTAAATTATAAAATAGTATAATTTAATAACTTTATTTTAATATAGCTAACACTAAAAAAATATACCCATATATTACTTAGATACGCGTGATATACTGTGCAACCGCTGTCAAACTAACCTTTCTTAAACTTACTACTAACGGAATAATGTAAATTTATTGCAATTATTAGTGTATAATTATGGAAAATAAAGAAGTAGGTTATTACCGAACGTTTCATAATGCAGATAAAATTATTGCTAATCTTTAGAAAATAGCTATTCCGTTAATTTACAATGTAAATACATTGTAAAAATAAAGAACAAGGTTAACCAGCGTAGTGTGATGTATCTACTAGCGCCTCTTACTGTTCGCGGAGAAATTACAATGACGAATTAAGGTACTGCGAATGCGCTTGGACTATTTACTGCATAACTTTAAATTCAAATAAGATTCATGGGCAACTGAACATGTATATATAGAATTATTTACGATAATCGTAAAGGTATAAAAGCGGATTACATTTTTGCTTATTCGTATTTCACAATAACCACTGTAAAGCCTCAATGAACGTTTTTTTTTCCCGGAGTGTTTGACTAAGTAGGCTTTCTTTATTACAATGCTGCGTGTTTTTGTAAAACAAACTATACGAAAACTGAGCACTAACGCGTCGGCGGGAAAATGCAACCGATTGGAAGGAAAAGTGGCAATTGTCACGGCATCGACACGAGGGTAAATTAAGTTATGTGTATATAAGTAATTGTTTTTGTTGTATAATTAATTAATCTTTTGTATTCGTATATTAATTTAAGAATGTACAATATATTTACATAGATTAATACTTAAGTGAGATATGAACATATATTCAGGATTGGTTTAGCAATTGCAAGACGTTTCGCTCAAGAAGGTGCAAAGGTAATGATTTGTAGTCGCAAAGAGCCAAATGTAAAGAAAGCTGTAGAGGAACTTAAATCTGAAGGTTTACAAGTTTCTAGTGTTGTATGCCATGTTAGTGATAGTGACCATAGAAAAAATCTTTTAGAGAAAGTAAGTAACAATGTCAAATTATATTTTAGATCATAACATAAACTTCACTTTTTATGTAAATGGATAATCAATTAATATTAATAATCTAATAGACAAAAGAGGAATTTGGTGGCTTAGATATTCTTGTATCAAATGCAGGTGTAAATCCTGTAAATCCTGATCCAAAACCACTCTTTGATACCACGGAACAATTATGGGATAAAATCTTTGATGTTAATGTTAAAAGTAGTTTTCTTCTAATGCAAGAGTCCTTACCACTTTTGAGAAAGAGTAAATCACCTTCAATAATTCTTATATCTTCAATAGCAGCATACCAACCAGTTACTGTAAGAAATTTCTTAAATACTATGATCACAATAAATTTGTATACTTTATAAAAATTTATGTTTATTTTGCATCTTAGTTGTTAGGTGCATATGCTGTTAGTAAAACATGTCTAGTAGGTCTTAACTATATAGCTGCTGCTAGTCTTGCTTCAGAAGGAATTCGTGTCAATGCTATAGCACCTGGTATTATAAAGACTAAGTTTTCGCAATTAGTATGTATTTACATGGATTTCTATAAATTATATTATTATATATTATCCATCACATCTTTAAAGTATATCTTTCTTTATTTTACAGCTTGTTGAAGGTAAAAGAGGAGATACTTTTTTATCCTTAATACCAATGCAAAGATTTGGCGAAACAAATGATATTGCAGGAGTTGCTGCATTTTTAGCAAGCAATGATGCTGCTTATATTACTGGTGAAACTATTGTTGCAGCTGGTGGAATGAGGTCCAGACTTTAAACATTGTACTATAAAACCTGTTTCAATATTATGTATAACTTGTAATAAGAATATTATTTTTATATATATACATTTGTAAACTTGAAATAAAATATTACAATTAATGCATTCCACTGGCTTTTAAAAAGTATTTAATTGCCAATTCCATATTAAGTTATTCCTATATGTTATAACTGAATTAATATTAATGATATGTCATTTCGTTAAAGTTAACTTTTGACTAAGTAACTACAAATTCTTTTACAAGACTGAAGACTTATCTATTCCATGTGGCATGACCTGTCTCGGCTGAAATGGAAGGAATGAAAAATAGTATAATGATAACTAATGACACAGGCAGTAATAAACATTATTAATGACAATACTGAAGATACTGACTGATACTGATTGATACCAAACTGCCTGATACTGACATACTCGATCTGTACATAACAGGAGTACCAACCCTTATTGCAAAACTGAGAAGTAAAAATTATTAAATCATAATTATTATAAAAATTATTAAATCATAATTATTATAAAAATTATTAAATCATAATTATTATAAAAATAATTAAACTTTGTATTCTTTAAATGTATGCACGTTTCATCAATAAAAAGTATGTACACTGTGAAGTATCATTTGCAATTGTAATTTAGTATACGTATAATTTATCATAAAAGTGAATACAAAATTTACCTTCAAAATTCAGAGTCAGAAAATAATTAAAAATTTTTAATATTAATTCATGCTAATGATGTATTTTCACAAATTTCATGAGTGCAATTTTTTTAACCATTTTTTTCTTATTTGTTAGAGATAGCATTTTTCAACATTTTTTTGTTTTAAATGAAACAAAAGTAGGCAGCGTCATGATATAGATAAAATGGTGTGTTACTAAAAAGACTATGTTTTTCGATGGTTACATTTACATTGTTCCTATGTTCTTTGGTTATAACGTAATATTATAGTACAAATAAAGATCATTACTCGTTTATCCTCGTTACATTTCGCTGCTGTAGCTTCCCGTCACAATTTCACGTTTCTATCTTAGGGAAAGGAAATTTCGGCGTACAAATTTTGCCGACAGATGCCCTTGCAGTTAGTTCACTGAGCAAGCATATTGTCCTGTAGTCGGTGTGATATGGCTACGAGTAATACAGAAGAAATTGAGGTATTTACTTCAGACGTAATATATGATATCACGAATATATTAAAATTTATGCAAAGTTTCATTTAAATACATTTGCGGTTTAAATATCTGGGGAAAATTCGCGTGGTCTTTCTTTGAAACAGCGTGGTCGGTTCGACACCCTTTACCCCTCCCATCTGTTCCATGCATGGTGAAAACTGTCTAACGAGCTTAAAGAAGGCATATTATATTACTTCAATTCAATACTGTAGTGCACGCTATGCGTTATAATCAATAATATTATACTAAATTTAAGTTCAAGTATTTGACAAATATTATGTGTGCTAAATTGTCAAAAATTATTAGAAAGTAATACATACACATGTATGTGTGTGTGTACACGGGTAGTATGGTCAGGTTAAAAAGGTTAAAGGCAAAGTTACGAATATAATTATTTACAGGAAGTGGAACGGAAGGAGCAAGAGGTAACTAATTTCGATGAATTTCCACCAGAGGTTTTAATTAAACATCCACTACAACATACATGGACTCTTTGGTACTATGAACCTGATAGGAATAAATCATGGGAAGAAAGTCAAAGGCAAATTTCAAGCTTCGATACAGCAGAAGATTTTTGGAGGTAAATTTTGGAGGTAGATCTTCTTTTAGAGTGTGATGCGGACTTTAAAATTTGATAACTAATGAAAATATTGTATTCCATTGATAGCTTATACAATCATATAAAATGTGCATCAGACTTAAGACAAGGTTGTGACTACAGCATGTTCAAACAAGGAATTAAACCTATGTGGGAAGATGATGCTAATAAAAGTGGTGGAAGGTGGCTCATGAATTTAGATAAAAAACAAAGAGCCACAGATTTAGATCATTTTTGGTTAGAGACTCTCTTATGTATGATTGGTGAAGCCTTTAATGGATACTCTGACGATGTTTGCGGAGCTGTAGTAAATGTGAGGCCCAAAACAGATAAAATCGGTGTATGGACAGCAAATGCTAATAGCGAAGATAGCGTCATGGAAATTGGGTAAGTTGCAGCATACAGGTCACAGCAAATCAAGATTTACTTCTTGTATAATTATTCAATTATATTTATTTTTACAGACGCAAATTGAGAGAGAGATTAAAAATCGCATCAAAAGTTACTATATCATACCAAATACATAAAGATATTATGGTAAAAGCAGGAAGTCAAACAAAGAATGTCTATGTAATCTAAAAACTGTTGATGTTACATTAATGTCATCGTTATTCATCAAAAAACGTCAAACCAGGAACATGTATCAGAAATATTGAAGTTGTGCAAAATCAAGTCAGATGACCACATCAAATTAAATGAAAATTCAATGTAAAACTTTTTAAAAGCTACATCTTCATTATAGCTAAGTATTTTCCTAATGCAAGTCATTGAACAAAAACTAATAAATATATACTAAAGCAAATGTATATCGTATTAATATAAAAATTTACATTAATGTAATATGTAATTAGAAAGATACGCACAGGCTGCTGTATTTTTCAGAAGATAACATAAATTATAAATAATTACTATTATTTGATTAAGTAATTTTCTTCACATATGCCTTCTCTGTGTATTACACGTTGTTCACATAAACAAGACTGCTATAAACAACTTATAAAACTAAGCTGTCATTTTCAGAGATGAAGTGACAAAGTACAGCAACCTACTTTACCTTAAAGTAGTACAACATTATTAAATAATGTTCTCACAGTTGTTTGACAAATGGTCATATTTAAGATTTTCTTAAAAATATATTAAAAATATGAATTCCTTTATTTGCATGTCACTTTATTTTTAGTTTTTCTGAAATAAGTAGTGATATAAGTGTTAACTGAAATAGAAATATTTTATTTTTTAATAAACTTACAAAAGTTAAATTATTTTGCCAATAAATTATTCATTTCTTGAGTACATTATTAATTTTTCAGCCAGTTCTTTAAGATCCCTGCGCCTTGCCTTTTCTAAAGCATGTACTAAGTTTAGTTTCCATTTGTCAGTACTGTACTGATACATATATAATTTTAAAGCCTACAAAATTATCTATGTTATCTTTATGTAAAAACTGTTGTTTAGAATAAATCAATTATATTTTACCTCAAAACTTTGTTCTTTCATATTCATAGGATATTTTTCTTGAATAGCATCAATTTGGTATTCAGGAATACCTAAATATCTAACTGTATCTCTCCACGAACGTCCAATTCTCTCACCGATTTGTAACAGTACTTAAAACAAATATAACGATTATTAATTTTGGCAATGACTAGTAATATATACTATACAAAAGATGAAATGATGCTTACCCATTTGTTGCAGCTTACTTTCTTGTTCAGAACAACTTCTAAAATTTGTTGCATGACTTTGTGATGTTGCTTGACATTCAGGTTCATTAGTACGCACTTCTTTTGTATCCTTATCTTTGAATTCTATAAAAGAATGTGTAAAAACTATTGCAAAAATTTAAGTAACTTAATTAACAGTACTTTTATTGGTTAATTTATTTAATATATATCCTTTGATTAAAGTTTAAAAAATAAATTATGTAAGATACATAAGTGTATAATAATTATAATCATATAAACCTCATTATATATTATATAAGGAAAACAATCTATAATTTATATTTAATTAAAAACTCACCATTTTCATCTTGATACATATCACAAAATGACAAATATTGTGTATTTTGAAGATAAAATTTGTAATCTTCTATTTTCTTCTGTACAAGAGGGTCATTTAAAAAATTCTTTGAAATATAATCAAGTGGTTCAATTTTACTGTAACTAAGAACATCTCGTTTTTCTAGTATTTTCAATAATGTTCTTAAATCATTAACCAGACCTAGTTTACGTTTCGAATGAATGTAATCAGCATAATACTCTTTAAGCACTTTCAATGCTCTATCATCTATATTTGACTGAGTGATAGATAAAAACTCTTCACGCAAACAACTGTATTTAACTTCAACAGTCATGGTATATTGTATAAAAGTACAATTTCTTCTTCAGGGAATTCCCTCTTTCACATACACTCAATAGCTCAAACCTTTCAGACTAAGACTGAATCTAGAAAGAATACAAAGATCCTCTTAATATTTTTGTACATATTAATTTTTTATAGGTTTTATCAAATATTTGATGATAATTAACATAAAATGCAGTTCAGATCACTTTATCCAATTAAGCATATTAAAATTAATTAATGTTCAAAAGTGTAATAAACAAGCTCTAACATATTCTTCTGTTGTACAAATTTGATTAATGCTTTTTGTTATGATTTTAGAAGTTTTACCAATTTAGTTTCAAAATACTTTAAAATAAATAATATACATATGATAGACCATAAAAAACATATACTGAAATAAGTAACTGGTAATGTGGTAATACTCAGCAGTGCCCTGTGGCGACTGGTGGCAACACCTGCAAACATTAAACTCATGGAAACTTCGAGATTGTTTTTATGAAAAATCATTTACTTATTACATTACGATGTGCACCAGATGTGCACATCCAACTGCACAGATGGAATAAAATTGTTACATGTTATTAAAATAATAGATAATATGTGTTAATATGACTTTTCAACGAATGTTAAATTTGGTCGTATTTTGAATTACTATGCATCAAATCTATAATATTCTCTTGGTTCGAGACATAGATATCCAACTAGTTCAATTCAAGTGAGATTCTCTCACGTGGATTGACACGAAGTATATTTTCAGTGTTGTGTATAAATTTATCTTTATACAATAACTTTGATTTAGGAATAAACAAAAATTAATAATTCAGGTGTAAAATTAAAACGTATTCGTTTAAATCAAATATTGACATCTATAATATTTGTATGTAGAAATACGCGTTAATGTTAACATTATTATTATTACATTTTCCTGCAAACACGTGTATCTGACTTTTTGAATTATTTTCTTATGGAAATAAATAATCATGAATGACGATCAGAAAATACAGTATTTGGTTGTTGATACAAGTGCATTCATCCGAAATGCATCTTTACAGGTAATGTATTTTGTGAATAGGAATAATGTGAATCCATATTACTTATTATTTTTGTTCGTTTTAGACAACTTTACACGAACAATATTAAAATATTACTTTAATATGTACCTCACATATTGTTTTAGGACATTGGTGTCAACATAATAACGGAACAAGATGTTGTGAATGAAGTTACAAATAAAAGGCAACTGAGAAGATTAGTTGTCTTACCATATGATTTAAAAATACAAAGTGCACATGCCGAAAACATTAAATTTGGTAATCTAATTTAATTTTATATATGTTTGAGTAATATTTTATCATATCACGAATCTGAAATATAATAATTTTTATGACATCTTCACAGTTATGGAATTCGCTAAAAAAACTGGCGATTATGCTAGTTTATCAGCAACTGATATAAAAGTGATTGCACTAACATATCAATTAGAAAAAGAAAAAGTTGGAACAAGTCATTTAAGAACTGAACCCATCGTGGTAAACACTGTGGATTCTAGTGTTAATCAAAATGAGAATCTTCATGTGTCATTAGCTGGTTTTTATATGCCAGGGAAGAAAGTAAATTTATTTCTTTTTTATTAATGCAGGAACATATTAAAATATTAGTGTGATAGTTAAACATTTTTCATATTCAGATAGGGACTGAGGATGCAAACAAAGAAAAACATGAATCAGACAAAGAATATATAGAAAATGAAAATGTTAAAAGAGTAAACACAAACCTGGAAGATAGTACAAAAGATGTCGACAATGAAGAGACAGATTCAGAATTATATTATAGTCAATTTTCCAGTGATGTTGAATCAGATTATGAAACTGCAGATGTTGATACAAATAGTGATAGAACAGAAGATATATCTAAAAGATTTTCAAAGTTAAATTGTGAACCAACAGAATTAAAAGTTCAAGACCAAGATAACAGTGAACACAATGTTGATGATATTCTTGCTCCTATTAAAGATGATTTTGATGATGAACAAAATAATACTGAATATAATCAATATGAAGACGATGATGATGATAGTGACGACAACGGTTGGATTACACCTAGTAAGATCTATCAACTATTCATATATAAACTTGTTGTAAAGGATATAAATAAGTATTTTTTTTATGTTACAGAAAACATTTCTGCGGTAAAAAAAGAAATTGATACAGGTCTCCTTGAACAAACATCAGCAACTGTTGCATGTTTAACAATGGACTTTGCTATGCAAAATGTTTTAAAACAAATTGGATTGAATGTAGCTGCCCTAGATGGAAGAGTAATTAAGCAAATGAAAACATTCATCTTTAGATGTTATGCATGTTACAAAACTACTAGCATTATGACAAAAGTTTTTTGCCCCAGTTGTGGTAATAAAACATTGAAAAAAGTTGCAGTTACACTAAACGAAGAAGGACAACAACAAATTCATATTAATTTCCGAAAAAGAATTTCTAAAAAAGGAAAAAGGGTACGATTTTCAATTTTTCTCTCCATATATATTTTTGCTTGAATAATACTAATAATTAAAAAATTTGTAGTTTCCTTTACCAATGCCAAAAGGTGGCAAACATGCTAACAATCCTATTCTTTGCGAAGATCAACCCGTACCTGATCAAAGAACAACAAGACTAGCACGCATTAAAAATGATCCTTTACAAGATGATTACATAGCTGGATATTCTCCATTTATTACGCGTGACGTGTATTCAAAATCAGCTATGTTAGGTATACGACCAGGAGGTTCCATTAAATATTGGATGAAAAAAAACCCGAACGAATCTAGAAGACGACGGAAATAATGATTATAAGTTATACCTTTATATATTGTATGTATATTGTAAAAGTGTAAGGTTTCCTAAAATATGTAAATTGAATATTGTTATGCGTGTAATCTTAATTTCAATCCTTAATATCTTTCTATATCACATTTTCCACTACTTCTCTCAACGTGAAAGTACTTCCCAAAATAAATGAATTATTTAGTTTACTTTGTTTAAAAAACAAAAAAAATATTGCCCCGGGTGAGGATCGAACTCACGACCTTAAGATTATGAGACTTACGCGCTGCCTACTGCGCTACCGAGGCGTATAGATGTCTTGCAATAGATATGTGTTTTATTGAAATCAAGAAAAGTATCAACATGCTTACACGCAATCTTTGAAAACTGACTAAAGTATGGTGCACGTGCATGTGATGTGAATATTTCCATGCAGTGATGTGAAATAAAGGTTTTAATTCTGATTCTACAATTAAAATGCTTAACCCGGAAGTATGGAGTTTTAAACCACCTCAACATCATTTTTCAATTGAAAAAAGGAATTACCAGAAAACTGATATACCAAATACAGTTGAATCGCATTATTTTAACCATTCGGTACGTCAGAAATTAGTCGCATTAACTGTAATTTTGTAATGATTATGTTTTAAGATATCTTTACATAATTCGCAATTACTGTTGGCTTTACGCCAGATATCTTTGGTGCTTCCTGACACGGTCAGAATTCCGGATGAATTGCAGACTTGCATTTCGGAGGATACCGACTACTATCGAATTAATGAAGTTAACGTGTTTGATTTAATAAACAAAGAATTTATAGAGGCATTTGTTAAGAAAGGTAAGGACCTAAAACATACGAATAAAAATAATTAATTTATAGTAATGTTCTATCGTTATGAATTTGATAAAAAAATTAAATGATATCTAGTTATGAAGAAAAATGAAATATTCTTTAATTCTGCGTAAAAATTATAATAGTAACATTACGTTACGTTTTACTTTTCATCTTCATACTATAAGTGGAAATACTTATGGAATAGTGCCAGCATTTCAATTTGAAGAAGTAGTGACTCGCTACATTTATACTATAAAGTAAATACATGAAAAAGAAACTATTTAATCACTTTATATATATTTAATAAATTTTATAGGAGAATTAAGTCTCTTGACAATTGAAAATAAGATAGATGTGGACAATTCAGTTGCCATTACACCAACTGGGCATTTGATACTATCGCTATTAAGAGAAGATTTTCAAAAGCTTGGCTTAGAAGGCACAGTTTCCTTCTTTGATCGTAAAGTGCATACACGTTATGGTAAGTCCTAAGGAGAAAAATATTAAAGAAAATCAAAATGCCGAAAAAGCAGCAAGTGCCTATGCTAGTGGATCTAGCATTATGCTCCGTTGGAGAATTTGTGACTACTTTTGGTAGATACATGACAAAACTTATTTGCATGACTTCCAAAACTAATCCAGAATATGGGCATACTAAGTTACATTCAATGTTACAATTCATGAAACATTTATTGAACTCATGTATACCTCGACATTTATATGATAAAATGTCCATTGCAGTGTTAACTGCCATTGTCAATTTAGTTAAAGAAACTAGAGGTACTTATAATGATTTTGCATTAACTACAGCCTTTTTATCAGAAATGACAGTTGCTCTTCGATTAACAGAAGTGGCTGTAGGTCCACATTTAAAAGCAATTGAATTTTCTATTTGGCCTAAAATTATGCGACACGTACTTTACAATAAATTGTATGATATGGTTGGGCTTGAGATTCTGGATTTAGGTTCAGGGTCAGCTGGTTGGAGAACATCAGATATCGAGAAAATTATTGCCAATGGAGTATCTGCAATGCCAAATTTAGTATGTTTTATTTTATGCTTTGATTGTACAGATAATATTATATTGGCCTTAGCTAGAAATTGTAAAAAGCTGCAAAAACTAGATGTAACTGCATCTAGATCTGTAACAGAACGCAGTGTTGGTCCTTTACTTTCATGTAAACATTTAAGACACATTAAACTATGTAGGACCTCTATGACTATATCTGGTTATGCAAATCTCTTTTTAGAACATTTAAAGATAGAAGATATCGGTAGATGCGATGAATTTGGGTATGTTTTAGAACATATTCATCAGAAAGATATTGGCGTTAAAAGTTCTTTTCATATCAGAACATTTGAGAGTCGAAATTTTAGTATGGAACATTTATATCTTTTAATTGATATGTGTCCATATATTACAAGTCTTTGTTTACTACGTGATGAAAGAATTGGTGATTTGACAATTCTAGCTACTCTTGATTATTTAAAAGAATTAAAGCTCTTATCTTGTGATTTTTATACCCATGGAATAAAGACACTGTTGGAAATCAAAGGTTGTGCAATTATAAGTCTGCACTTGGAGCATGTAGAAGAAATTGACTTGAATGCACTTATATTGATAAGTCAATACTGTCCAGACATAAGGGACTTAGTTTTTTATAATTGCGAATTCTTAGAACATGCAGCACTTCATCCACGAAAGCTTGCAGTTCGACCATTCCAATGTTTAGAAAGAATCAAATGTGTAGCTGAATGCGCAAACATGCACCTAGAATTTTTGCTTTCTCATTGTATAAATATTAAATTCATACAACTGGGTTCATCAACTGGAATTGGAGATGACACAATGAGAAGAATACTTTTGCAAAATCCAATGAGCAAGTTAGAAGAGCTAAAAATATTATATAGTCATGATTTATCAATGAAAACTGTGCAATTATTAATGCAGAATTGCGATAACTTACGACGTCTATCGGAATTAGAAAGTTGGCAAGGAATATCACCTACAGAATTAAATATTTTCAGAGAAGACTTAAAAACCACTAATACAAATTTGGATATAAGTCCAAGCTTATTTTTTGCATGAATTAAATATTGAAGATGATAATGTAATTGTGAATAATTTAAGAGGATATATTTTTTACACCATTAAATGAAACAGTGTTATACATAAAATAGAATAAAAACAATAAAGTGATTGTATGCATATTCATAGAATAATTGATTAAATAACAAACAAAAAAAATCAATAAAAAAAAGTATTTGTATCTTTCCTTAGTGTACATTAGAAAATAGTTATGCTAGACAATTTATTTAAAATTCAAGTTTTAAACGATTTACTAATGTATATCATATTGTAAATTCACGAATAAGGTTGCACGTCTTTTTAATGTTCGCATTAGTAACTTTACACTTTGTCATTTCTACTTTTCGTTTTTTTTTTTTTTTACCGGTAACATGAATCAAAAGTCGTGACTATTGATTTAAATTCTGAAAGCTTTACACCTGGCAAGAAGAATTACGAGCATACTCGAACGTCGTTAAAGGAGCGTTTTAAACAAAAATTTGATATAATCGTATCATGGAATCCACCAGGTGACTCTTTTCTCTTTCCTAAATTTCATTTTGTCTGCACATTTATTTTGTATGTAACATATTTTATTTTTGAAGATGAAAATCTATGCCCATCATCGGTAGCGGCATGGTTTCACGAACGTCAGTACGATGTCTTTCTATGTCATCAAACCTTTCAACAAAATATCGAGTATTCTCTAAGGATACCAATACTTTCAGAAGAATCTAGTAACGATCAATTCTTCGAATGGCTTGGAGTTTTTAATATTTCTGGTAACTTGTATGTATCAAATATGATTAAAGATTATTTACAATTAATTTAAAGTATATAACAAAAAATTAATTTTGTTCAGGAAAAATAGTAATGAAAATGATTATGTAAATACATACACTTGTCCATCACCATTTATGGATGTTGGACAAGTGCAATATCTACAATGGACTGGCTTTTTTACAAAGAAGCAAGTGACAAATTCATATAATGCCATAAAAAAATATGTGTCAGTGCAACAGACTTTACCATGGTGTGCTTTACATGTACAAGGATTTTTGGATAGCCCTGTTAGCTGGGGTTTGAAAGAACATTCGTTTTACACAGATGGTGATAATAGTTATACCATAGTATTTCGTCCAACTGCTGATTCTATTATACGAAGAAGTCTTAGTTCCAATAATAAACCAAGATATTTTCAATAATTATACACCTTACTGTACATTATTCGATGGTATAAATAAAAAGTTTTTATGCGAAGAAACGAATTATATTTTTTAATTTATACATTATATATCATAACATAGAGATTAATAGACGTTTATAAATAACATTTTTAGATATAACATCATTTTAGATAGATATTTTTGCATTATAAAGAAGTAAGCAAAACTTAAATGGAATGTGTACTCAATAATAATTAACTGAGAGAAAATATTCTGCAAGATTTTATAAATTAACTCTGATTATGGAATTTTTAATTACTTTCTTGTTGTCTATGAATTTCTCGTTAGTGAATTCTATGTTACAAGAGCATACAGTACCATAATATACCAAAAGCATTACATATATTGCACATATTAGAAGTATACATATTTATGCATCATATTATTAGTTGTATTAGTTATTTTGTAAAGTTACATGACTAGAAATCAATTTAAATTGAGTGTTTACATACAAAGTAAAGTAACTTGTACAAAATAAAGTATAAAATGTACTACATTATGAGATCAAAATAACTTATCACACTTACACTTTTTAAAGTTATCCTTTCCAAATAAATAAATAAGGAGTAATCCATACAAAGCTGCAGATGTTGAAATCTGTTGATTTGTTACTGTTATAAGATCAAAATCAATTATCATGTATACAGTTATCGAAATTTTCTTAAATTTATTTGCAATTAAACGAATGCATGTTGATCTATGTAAGTGTTGCCACAGATGTCAAACTTGTTATTTTGATATTGTAAAATGTGCACAGTTTAAAAGTTACATAAAGTAAGGATGCATAATCAGAAAGTTACAATAATGTATTTTTATATTTTTATCAATGTTTTGCACAATGAAATATGAAATGTATATATTTAGTATATTTTTCAAACTATCATTAAATATTGAACAAATGAGGCAACTATTACATGTATCATGCATGTAGGAATTTATGAATTTGAATCAGATTAAACTTCTTATTACAATTAGTTTACAATCCTCTATGATATAGGTTACCTTTCATATCAATACATGCGAACTGTCCGTTTCAGCAAATTTAACTTTGGAATTATAATAGAGATCTTCAATACCAGAACCAACAGACATGCGAGACTTAGAACGCGCCATAAGTTCACCTATTTCATCAAAATCTTTGTACCTAATATTAATAAGTATCATTATATTAAAATGAATTTGAATACATAGACTTCTTCAATTGTATGGAGAAGTTACCTGCTTACTGGACGACTTTGATTTTCAGATGATTCTGAAGAATTTTTCATAACAGAAAACCTGTCATCTGTAGTAAATGATGCTACATTACCTAGATACAAATTTAATATTGTTACAACTAATAATGAATACATAAAATGTATAATAAAATATATTTACCAGAAGGGAATAACATTGTGTGTTTCAAAAGGTCGCCATTCATAAATTGTGAAAGACTGTCATCTTCTTCTGGTAACAAATGATTCGTGGTATCATTAGTTATAGATTCAACCATTTCTAACCATTGCTGATTATGTGACCTAAACTTTTCCACTTTTATGCGCGCTGCCCAATTTTTATCACACATCTATAATTTTACAATTAATTATATTTGATTTGTTATATTAAGAGATAATTACTAAATATAATCATTTAAGGTACTTACAGCAATGACATCCAAGCATGTATCACATACTTTTCTAATTGCTGGATTTTTATCATGCATCAAATCTATTAAATATCCAGGTGCTTCTATAAATAATAGAAATATTTTAGAACATAAAACGCCAGAAAACGACCTATCTTCTGTGTAGAATATAAAGAGAACTACAAGAGAAAGAAGATGATTTGATTATTACCATTACCAGTCTCACGTATTAAATAATCCCTTGTTGAATCATGTTTAGATATTTGATAAAAGACATAAATTATTTGTAAGACCATTTCATCGTCCTCTTGTTTTGCTATTAAAATTATTCTTGTTAAAACATTAGCATTTAATTCACGTTCTTAATATTACACACACCTTTAAGGAGTTCAATTAGCGAAAGCAATATGTCAGCCTTGCATAATAAACGTGCGCAATCTTCGTCATAAGCTGCTGTACCCAAAAATATAACAATCTCGAGTACTAAATCATCTGATGATTTACCTAATTAGAGAAAAGTGTAATTATATTTGAGAACGAATTAGAATTCTGAAAAATTATAATTAAACTTTAGATTACATAAACATTGCACCTGGAACAAGATTATTGCGTATCCATGGTATCAAATCACATCGATGAAGAATTTGTGAATAATCCAAGTCAGGTAATTCTAAATTGCCTAATACACCTATAACTTCCAATACAAAATCCTGCGAATCTGATTGATTCAAAGCCATAGCAAAATCACCCACAAATTCCTAATAATTATTAGAAATAATTTATGAATACTTTCGTTTAAGAAACAACATACTTTGAATAATGAAATAATTACATACAACGAAACTCTCCTTAGTTGAATCATGTTGAGATATATTTCTAACCATTTTCATTATGAGAGGATCCTGATTTCTAAATGCTCTTTTGATGAGTCCTTGCAAACGATTATTTTCAACCACGACTTCAGCATTTTTGCTATTAATGACTAGATTTATACCGAGTGCTATTAATTCTAATTTTGGTTGATCTTCTTCAGCATTTAAGATCATATTTGTTACCTTAAAAATGTTTATATATTAGATAAAATTACTTAAAAAATGTATGAAATATAATTAAAGTTTTTGTTACGCGAATTTACCAGTTGAACGCATTCAGTATTTGTGAACATAGTCTTTACTTTGTCATCCATACTGGTATGATATAATAATCCCAAAATTATTGTTTTATTCTTAATATCACCTTGACCAAGCAGTTTAATTAACTTTGGTAATAAACCAACTCTTATCATTCTTGCTCTAAGCTTTGCATCAAAGGAAAGATTGAACAATAATTTTAAGGTACTCAGTATCAGATCTGCATTATTACTCTGTAGAAGTCTTGGTATTTTTTCAATAATATTCCCCTCAGCCTAAAAAAAAATAATAAATAAATACATGTAACTGTATATACAGGGTGTCCCAAAAATGTTGTAACACCTTGAAAGGAGTGGTTCGGAAGGTGATTTGAAACAACTTTTTCCTTAGCGAAAATGTTGTCCGAGGCTTCGTTGCGGAGATATTAACAGAAAACACTGACCAATCAGAGCGCGAGTATGCCGGTTGAGCGTAGGCTACGCGCTAAGCGGCTGCGCTCATACGCTACCGCGTTTTCCGTTAATCTCTCCGCAACGAAGTCTTGGACAACATTTTCGCTAAGGAAAAAGTTGTTTCAAATCACCTTCCGAACCACTCCTTTCAAGGTGTTACAACATTTTTGGGACACCCTGTATTGTCATTATAAGACGTTTCAAGATTTCATTGCAAAACATTACCATAAGATCTTTATTTTCACGAAATATGGATAACTTTTTTAGAAATGCAATGACCAGTATTAATAAGTCGGTATTTGTCCTATCTAATGTTTTAATCAGCATACCAATTACATTCTTCTTGCGCATCTTTCTTTCAACTTCCATATTTTCAGCAATATTTAATAATAAATAAAAGGCCACTGTAACAAAAATTTTTATGTAATATTTGAATAATATTAGTAATACAGGAATATAAAATTACCAACCTCTTAATAGTTGTTCTTGTTTTTTTATTAAACTCTTGAATTTCTTACGATTTTTTTCAAGTTCTTCCTTTAATTTCTTCACATCATTTTCTGTTACCGCAGAAATTTCATTAGAACGTTTTTTAATTTCGTAATCTAAAGGACCATCAGTATTCCAAATATCATCGATAATTTTCATCTTCTTATCAGAATGATCATTTCCACTTGAAAAAAATGTTAAACCTGTAGTATTTTCGAAATGACGCTTACGTTTTTCCATATCCTCTTTCCATTGGTCGTACCGTCGTAATTCAAAGTCTATTATATCCATGCATAGAGATCCAATCTAGATAGAAAAAATTAATTATTAACTATACTTATATTTGTAAATTCTTTGTATTTTCACTTACTCTGTATTCAAGAACGATATTATGAAATTGACTATACATTGAAAAACAAAAGAAAATGTAGACAATATTTGTAGAGAGTTCTATGCTACGCCTCCAATCTTCTCTAAGGACTCTTGCTAAAGCACTCAGCAGAGATTCTAAGGATATAAATATCAATTATGTATCTTATGGTCAGTATGTGATTAAATACTGCAAAATATAGAAATACCATTTTTTGTTAATTCGTGAAGATTATCAGGTACCCTTGCCAGTTGCAAGATCAATGATGAACCTTTGATTTTTCCTGGTATTTCTTCGTATAACAATTCAATGTAACTGTCAACATTACTAATGACAGCACGTTCCATTTCTCCATTATCTGCAGACACTGAATTTGATGATGCTGGTCTTGAGGGTTGAGAATTATTATCATTACCTACATTAAAAAGTATTGTGTAATAAAAAAAAGAAATCGAATAATAGAAGAATTATGTATATATGAACCTACTTATGCAACCATCATTAGTTCGTCGGTTTTGAAGATAATAAATCAATTGTTCTACTTCTCGAAGTTTTGATTCATGTATCAAAGAACATTTTTCTATCACTTCTTTAGCTAGAAGTGACACATTAGTATCTGCATTTAGACTCTTTAACCGAATTATTTTTTGACATTCCTACAAATAGATTTATTATATGATCATGAAATCCTTTGAAGCCAAGATTATAACACAAGTAATAAATATACTATGTTATAATAATGTCAGTAAATAATTAAAAAAGCCTTACTTTACGATCTCCCAACATAGGATCCCCTAATTGACCTAGGATTAAAGCTTCAACATCATAATTCACTACCAAGGCTTTCTCTGTCGGGTGTACATCCAATGTACCAGATCTGACTTTTCTAAACATTAAAAATACATTCACTGTAATCTGTTCATCTACTGTCAAACACAGTATAAAATCAGTCTGAATCTATGTCAAATCCGCATGACAATGGTATAACACATGGTTAATACTACGTTTATATAGTAATTTGCCTACCGCTTTAAAAACTTTGCTTCATCCATTTCAATATTTTATTTATAATTCAAAACATAAAAATATACTTGTCCTCTCGATATTTTTCGGTAATTGATTTATCTCCATGAAGAGAAAACTAAATATAGAATCACCAACTACAATTCGTAAGATTCCTGTTTTGTTATCGCGAAGTATGCTACTATAATGCTTTCAGAATTCACCACTAGAAGGCTACGAAAACATCAAGCTGAAGCTGATTCTTGCAAGTCCTCTATTTTTACTTTATCTTACCAAACAATGAATTGTTACCGATTGTTTCCACTCGCGTCCCATAAACTGAAATTACACAGACAGACATACAAACAAACCTTACGTTTAGTATTATAGATCTACATTTCTAATATTTAATATTATATTTATTATACTTCAAAGTCAACATTAATAACAAAAATTCGTAACAAATAATTTCAAAATGCCTGCGACAAAGTAGCGAATCATTTTTTAAGAAATAAATATATCAGCGATAATAATTATCATTTCTGTTTACTTTGTTTCCCGCTTATTATCGCCCGATGAAAAAACATGGAGCGTAAGCATTTTGATAGGGGGTCGTCATATGTTTAGCTTGTGACCACTTGTGACATTATTGAATAGTACTAACGAGAAAGTGACCATTTACAATCGTAAAATTGATATTAAAATACTTTCACGTTAAGATGACAGGAAAAAGTATCATTATTGATTGTGATGCTGGAATAGATGATGCATTGGCATTAATTATACTTATTGCTGCTCATAAGCAGAAAGAAATTGAAATTAAAGCAATCACCTGTGTCAATGGAAATACAACAGTAGAAAATGTAGTTAAAAATGTTTTTAAAACGTTAGATGTTTGCGAAGTGACAGATGTAAGTTTAATTTTTAAAACCCTATATTCAATATCAATGAAACATGTATTACACCTTTGTGTGAATTACTTTGCAGATACCAGTTTTTCAAGGTGCATATGCACCTTTACTTTGTACTCAGCATACTGAACAAGCTGCTGAAGAGCAATATCACGGCGGTGATGGCTTTGGGGATGTATATACAACTAAAATGGACACGAGCAGTTTGCAAACAGAACATGCTGTTTGTGCTATGAATAGAATTGTATCACAATATCCTGACAGAATTACTGTTGTATGTATGGGTCCTTTGACAAATATAGCATTAGCTATAAAAATGTATCCTCACTTTGTTGAGAATGTAAAAGAATTTTATATTATGGGAGGGAATATAACAGGTAATTTTATTTCACTCTTTCACATATCTCAATCAATATAAGTTAGTTAAAATAATTAATCATGGCATTTATTATTAGCACAGGGTAATATAACACCACAAGCAGAATTCAATTTCTATATGGATCCAGAAAGTGTACATATAGTTCTTAATTGCAACAAAAAACCATTGTGGTTATTACCATGGGAAACATGTTTAAAATCTTATATTTCACATGTATGTATAATACACATATAATAATAAGATGCATCAAATGTTAACAAAATGATTAAATATTTTATAGGAATGGCGACAAAAAGTATTTGGCCAAATAGAGAAACCTTGCATTCAACTAATGAATGATATCGAAGATGGATGCAGTAAAACAAGAAAGAAACACTTTCCTACTTATATAGTGTGCGATGCAATTTTAGCTGGAATTTTATTAAGACCAAAAATTGCTCAAGATGTGGTAGAATATCATGCAGATATTGAATTAAGTGGTAACAGAACAAGAGGTCAAGTGGTTCTTGATCATTTATTGTCAAACAAACCTAATGTGTTTCTAATTCAACGTTTTGATTCAGAAATGTTTAAAGATCTTTTAATATCTTCTGTTCACAATTGTCATAAAATTGATGTCCAATAAAATGTTAAAATCAATAAAACAGAAAACTTTATGTACAGAAAGAAAATAAATTTATATATGTATATTTTATATTTGCATTATAATATTATGTAACTATAACAATAATTTGACATACTATTGAAGTAACTTCAATAGGAATGTTTAATCTTGAAATATTGTAGCGGTATATTACATTGTACTATATAAGAGTACGGACGTAATATCTGATTATTACCTACAATATTATCAAATATATTCACATTGCACAATCTGAAATGATATCAATATTAGTTGATTAGAAATAATACAACTTAGATTCTAAGTAAGGTTACAGTAAGATTGTCCAATGTATCAAACTTAGAGGTTATACACACCTTTTTAAAATAAACATTACAGATCTGGTTTCAATGAATACTGGGATTCTTGAAATTGCTTTCTTGTTTCTCGATTTGATTGCAATAATTCAATTAATTCTGCATGAATAACATCATTTTTATGTTCAAGGTTATCCAAAACAGAATTGAGCTGATCTAGTTGGGCGTTTATCGCCTCGAATTCTGCAATCACATTTTAGATCGTGACAAAAAACAAATAATATTTCAATGCTTTGTATTAGATTAGATATCACAAATATATATGTATACAACTCAATCGAAATATTGAGTAGAAGAAACAAACATTTACACTGTCATGGTAGTGTTCAAGACAAAATATATATTTACCAGCGTTATTACAATTGGCTGCATTTTCTTCATTTTCCCATTCATTTTCATCATCGTTATGATGATTTTCTTTTGGCTGTAATGCGTCTTGGACCATATTTTCATCTGCCATTTATGAATTAACAACTAATGAAGTAAGTGGAAGTAAGCCACAAACTAGGCAGAGGGCATATAGTAGACGAGAGACCCTCTAATCTACTCTAATCAGAGTCACGAAGTAACGTCGAGGTTAGGACAGGTTTCGCCATTTTTCAGAAAATACCGCGAAATTCAATTTGAACAGCATAAAGTGTTGCAATGTTTGCATGCTGAATCCCGAGTTATGTTTTCAAAGAATAAGACAAAAATCACGCGAATAATAAATTTGTATTTATTTCCTAGATATTGGGTTTTGCCATTGTTTTGATGAATCTCAACATCTCGGATTTTGACGAAAGTTGGATATATTATAATCTTTAGTAATATAAGGATTTAAACAAATTTTGAGAATTATCGGCTTTGCAACTGTTTAAAGTTTCGTGGAAGTGTTCAGCTCGTGATTGGAACTTTACCAGACTACTAACAAGCCTAATAATAAGTAGACTGCGGATCTTTATGCAAAATAAAATCTTTGCGAAGGTGGCTACAAAAATTGAACCTAAATAGGAATTTATTTTATTCTGCAAATATTATGACATGAACTTTACTTTCAATCTGTTTTATATTTTTGCATATTGTTTGAATTTTGTAGTTTCTTGCACGTTCAAATTTCCTATAAATGCATAAAGATCTGCAGTCTACTCATAAGCCTACAAGGAGCTCGGGTACCTCTCGGGTTCGCAAGCCCATACTGCAGCTGCAAATGGGTGCATTCAGCACAGACAACTGTTGAGTGATTATTTTAGATTCTTTGCTTTGATTCGTATATTTTTCAACTATTAGAGAGAATCCAATAGAATCACTCAACAGAGTTGCACAACTGTTGTCTCTGCTGAATGTAGTCAATGACGTGAACAGCTGCGACGATCACAGCTGATCACAGTCACCCGGCTACAGCCCCTGAGGGCGCGTAAGAATGAGACTTGTTATCTTGTGACGTGTGTCTGTCACGTGCAAACACGAGTGTTTGCAGCACTGCAAAGAAGACATTTAAATACACGTATTATTTTGGTTCGATACGTCTTTTTTATTCCTATCCTATCATCTTATTCATGTCATTCACGGAGGGCGTTTGATACGAAGTAATCATTTGATAGCTTTATCAAACATTCCGAGTAAGTTGCATGCTTTTTTTTCAGATTAGTCATCCGTGGGAAGTTCATAAAAACGTCGAGTCACCGATTTTCATTGAAAACCATTCTGTTTCTGTAAAGAACGACAGCTTCAAAAATAGGACTGTTAAAAATGGTCACTGGGCGAGCGCTTCATTTCGTATTCAAAATACCGGATCGCAAATTAACAGCGAAGTTTTATCGAGAAATTCTTGGAATGAAGGTTAGTCCTTTAATAATTAAAAATGATGTCAGATCATTTAGAATTTTTTTTCGCAGGTATTGCGACACGAAGAATTTTCTGAAGGCTGTGATGCTGCTTGCAATGGGTTTGTAATTATTTTGTATGCGATATGATTTTTCATTCTATTATATCTCTATGAGATTATTTATACAGACCATATGCGAACCGGTGGAGCAAAACTATGATAGGCTATGGACCAGAGGATACTCACTTTGTGATAGAATTGACTTACAATTATGGTATCAAAGAATACGAAGCTGGAAATGATTTTCGTGGTATAACAATCCGTTCTAAAGAGGTAATTGAGAGAGCACGTGCAAAAGAATGGCCTATAAAAGAAGAAAGTGGAAAATTTGTACTGCAAGCACCTGGTGGATACAAATATTACATTATTGATGAGCAACAACCTATGGACAAAGGTACTACTGAGGATATATCAAACATTGTTAGTTTTGAAATGCTACTTGTATTAAAATTTGTATCCCTAACAGATCCAGTGCAAAAAGTAACTTTGTCTAGTTCAAATCTTCAAAAAACTATTGCTTACTGGAAAGATATTTTGGATTTAAAAGTTTTCAATCAAACTGATAAAAGTGTTTTGCTGGGGTACAATGAGAATCAGGCTAAAGTTGAATTTGAAGATATTGGTAAATTTTTTGAAGCAATCTTTGTAAAAAAAGAATTTTTTTAGTAATGCCAATAGCTTCTGCTTTTCTTTTCTAGGTACTGAGGTTAATCATGCTAAAGCCTATGGACGTATAGCATTTTCAGTTCCTAAAGCAGAACAACCAGAAATTCAAAAAAGAATCAATGAAAGTGGCAATAAAATACTGACAGATCTGATTACTTTAGATACACCAGGAAAGGCCTCTGTGACCGTTATTATTCTCGCAGATCCTGTAAGTACATTTCAGATACCTTTTTTTTTTTTTAAGTTTAATTCAACGAATATACACCATGAATAAATGTGAATATTTCAGGATGGACATGAAATTTGCTTTGTCGATGACGAAGGTTTTCGTCAGCTATCAGTTCCGGACTATCCGAGTGAACAAATTTTGGACAGATATATCAAGAAAGAAACATGAATTATTAATTTATAGTTTCGAAATTAATGTTTCTTCAGTGCTGGGAATGATATATATTTCAGTATTAATAGTTCTTATTTCCTAGAAAAAAGAAGGTGATGGAGTACACAAATACAAATTATTTTTAATAAGCAAAGAATGAATTTTTAACAATTCACAGCGATCTTGAATACTCGTTAATATTTTACAGTTTATATACTATATGTTGTTTTATAATTCATATATGTTTCTATAAAATGTATGTTCTATGGTGAAGGTGATTATACGAGATAAAATAAAAGTTTCATTATAAAATGCAGTTTTATTACCGTGATACTATATTGTAGGAAATAGTGATATCTTTCAAAGGTCATCAGCGGTGACCTCTTAGTATATGGTTTAGTTTCAAGGAAATCTCTGGAGATAACACTGCAAGACGTAATGCGTTAACTATGAAAAAAGTTTGATAAATCTCAGTGGCAAATATATAAACTGTTATTCACACATTCCACATCAGTTTACTCATACTGCGTCTTAAACGCTTCTAGAAATCATGAGATTTAAATCCTTTTTGCTTTTACTTTTTTGCGTGTTTTTTATAATTGGTAAGTATGAATAATTAACTTTAATAAATGTTTCATTCTTTGCTGTTTCTTTTTAGTAAAGTATTTTAAAGTATATTAAAAATCATGTAAATTTCGCGCATAAAAGTGAACATTTATAAGAATATTATTTTCATAGATGGTATTAGTGCAAGATGGACATCTTTTGGGAGATCAAGAAGTGGCGGAAGTAGTTCACACAGATCGTCTAACAGTGGAGGTGGTTGGCACAGATCACCTAGCAATGGAGGTAGTTCACACACAACATCTTATGGATCATCTTCTGGTAGTCATGGATCTGGATCCAGTCACACGCCATCTTCTTCACACACATCTACAGGTTCTAGGCCTATCGGATTTGGAACCTCGACGAGAGTAAACTCCGCCCCTCACTCAGGAGGAAGTTCATTTGGTAATTTAACACGCTACGTGTGTCAAACATACTATAAAATATATGAAGATAATATTTGCATCAATTATTAATATTGCTTGCAATTTTAGGAACAGCAACGCAAGGCCATAGTAAAGATGTTAACACAAATTTCTTACACAGCGAAGGTGGTGGAGCGACACGACCCTGTAAATATTTCGTATAACATATTTCGTATAACATGTATTTTATTAAACATAAGATGTAAGTAGTAAAATGTATGTCCTACGATAAGCACAAGCAAAACCTGCCAAACCTTCGTTTGGAACATCGCATCCATACCCAATAACTCCAACGATTGGGTCAAACTATCCTTCACATACAGGGGGAAAGCCAGGGTTTATAACTGAAAGTAAACAAACTTCACCTGCTCTTCAATCATCCGTAAATCAAGGTATGTGCAATGTATGATATAGCAATTGTAACAGTAAATTATAAAAAATTTGTTATATATTATAGGTAGTAATGTACCCTATCCACCGGGACATTCAACCACGGGTCAAACAAATCCTCCATGGAGTAATCCCTACTTAGGCACTAACAATCGACCAAGTGCACCTAGTCAAACTGTACCGGGTCAAACGAATCCTCCATGGAGTAATCCATATGGAAATGGTAGTCCGTCGATTAGTAATGTACCCTATCCACCGGGACATTCAACCACGGGTCAAACAAATCCTCCATGGAGTAATCCCTACTTAGGCACTAACAATCGACCAAGTGCACCTAGTCAAACTGTACCAGGTCAAACGAATCCTTCATGGAGTAATTCCTATCCAAATGCTAATCGACCAGCTATGCCAGGTTTACAACCATCTCCAATTGGATTCAAAGATCACGTTTACCCACAGAATTATCCGACATCTATGAGCTCTCAGTTTAGTCAACCACCTATCGGGGGCCATTCTTATCCTACTGGGAATTATCACTCGATTGGTATGCCAATGGGAAATCCTTACTCTTATCATCCTCCAGGAGGTGTTCATAATGCACCTGGACAAACTTACTATCCACAACAACAAGTTCTCGCTCAACCTGCAGCACAACCATTCATACCTGGCCAAACTGTCATAATGGTTCCAGGGCAGCAAGATTCTGGCAGGGGATTAGGTCAAATGGTTAAAGAAGCCCTTGTGTTTTCAACAATTAATGCAGGAGTGAACAGGTTAATAAATCCTCATACTCATACTCATTATGTTGAAAGCCGACCGGAGAGCGCATCATCAGCACCTACAACTCATATTACTTACAATAATCAGTATTTTAATACTGTACCTGGACAAAATGGTTCAACAAATCCGATAAATGTACCAGAAGGAAACACTCCTGCTGGTAATTTTTCGACTGGAGCGTTTACTCCAAATGTAGGAGGAGGCAATAATATCTCTTCACCGGGAATTGGAAATACATACCATCCGAGTGTTCCGAATAGTGAGGTACCTAGTTCAAATGGAACTGTTAACGGAGGTAGCGGAACTATTACTGGAACTGGTGCAATTGGGAATGTTGTTTCACCTACAACTCAATCTGATGCAGCAAGCAATCAAAGGAATCAAACGGATAATATTAACATTGTCGATAATACGCTTTACTATAAGATTTCTGACGATGAACTTTATAAAATAACAGAAGATATTTTCGCAAAATCACATAATATATCAAAATACATAAGACTAAATTTGCAAAATCGTGTTACATCTACCAACATAACAGACGAAGCTATAGAACCGTAAGCACCTAATCACAGTTATTGTTTGTATCGATGTTATCATTGATGATTTTTAGACAATCCGAACAATTGTTTCAACTTTTATTTTTCAGACTATTCGACGTTGAACAAGAGTTGCTGTATTATCCTTCAATTTATGTAATGCGAGCTCTATACGACAATTACGAGCACGATTTTCGGCAGAAGTTAAATCGTACGATTCATATACGCGAGAACGAGAATCTATTAATCGATACTTTCTTAAATACGAACGAAATGGCGATAGCCATGCAATGGTTAGCCGACCATGGATTCATCGATCCTGACGACTTCGAGAAGAAGGATGTTCTCCGTCGTATTTGGTTCACTATATTCACCGGAAGTACGTGTGGATTCGAACGGGTATTTGCGTCTGAAAACTATGGTACCGCTATCATCGGTGTGCAAGATTGGATCTACTTTGAAAATCAGGAATCTGCGAAGCGTATAGATTACATGGGCTATGTAGATAAATTGAAGCTTGGAGATGTAAGTAATTTAATAAACGTCGGATAATATTATGTACATATAACAAAAGCAACGCGATATTTATCATGTGATATGTGAATCTTTTTTAGAAGGCCTCATTGTTGAAATTAAACTACAAAATGGATGGAATCGATAGACCAAACGCAACGATATTCGTAGGCACTATGCCCGAGTTGGAGATGTCCTTGTACACGATATGCTTTTTCGCAAGATCGAACAATTTATGCCCAGTTTCTCTAGGAGGTACTAAGTTTAACATTTATACGCACTCTTTTACATATTTTGGAACCGAAGTTATAGACCTCGGTCTACCGTTGTTCTAATGTAGATTAATATAGGATAATGTTTATACTTTGTACCCTATTCTTATAGATACGTATAAAACGTTTAGTATATGTATATAGTATATCATATATTCTGTATAAGATATCACTGTTATTAATGTCAATAAAAATATACAAAAAACGATGTAGTATGACACCAATTTCTCATTTTAACTATGTAGTAACTTACCGATCTGTATTGTATAGTAACGACATAAAATAACTTATCCTGATGAAATTAAATCGTAGTATTTTTTCTTGGAATAGTCTTTCAATTGATTAATGGTCGTGGAACGCGTAGATAGTCTTAAATATTTCCAGTACGGTGTTGTTTCAAGGCTCCAAAATTCGGCTTTATCTAAAACAAACGAAAGTACGTTAGAGCGGGGACTGGAAATATTATTTCAATAGTAAATCGATATTATACTATAACGAGAATATTATCTATACATGAAAAATACTATGTCTTGGCAAGTATTATTTATAATATGTAATAGGTAGTACAGGGAATCCTAATATTCAGAATCTAAATATTGACAAGGAGCAACGTCCTTGCTATGCCAGAGATTCGTCATCGTCAACGTCATCCTGCAAATTTCGTTACTAGATCATTCTATCGGATCCCTACCACCTCACCGACCATATCGAAGATCGATGCAAAGAGAAAGCCTACGACGCATAATTCTCGTTGCAATTCCGAACTGGTTTCAGTGCGCGTCGTTTCACGAAGAAGTCTTTCAGTAACGGACTAACCGTCGAATAGTTAACACCGATCTACTGAGTGACTCTTGGTCGAGACCTCAACTATACAGAAGCGATCATCGAATAAAGCAGAAAGGAAGCATGAACATCAGGCTAATACTGATATGCACGATCCTCGTCCTGTTTGTGTTTGGTAAGCGAACCGAATAAAAATACGAATCATCCAACCGGTTTGAACAGGAATCGAACGATAAACGTTTTACGCTACCGTCGATACTTCTGGCGTAGAAAAACACCAGTTACAGCGTCTCGGGATAATAACGGTGCTTCGAACCTGTTCGTTTTTTGTTTCATACGACCTAACAGCAATGTTGTTTCGTCTCGTTTAGAAGCGTGTTCGCAAGAGAAACTTATGAATTTGAACTTTCCTAAAAGTGAAATTTGTGCGCGCATAGGATTAGACTAAGAGGTGGAGAGATTGGTGGATCAAATTTTAGAGCTGGAGCAAGTTCTGTACTGCTTGAAATCTTTAATTAATGTAATTCAGAGCACGGGTCATTTGCCTTTTAGAGGCATATTGAGTAGAAACTCTTTCTATAGAATAAGAAATATTTTTGATAGGAAGAGGAATTAATCGACTGTAATTATCGTTTAAAAATCTCATTAGTACATAAGTGGTTTAAGATAATGTTCCATTTAAATAATCTGTTGTAATCAAACGATTAACGGCGTCATGTTTACGACGGACTCTGAATATTGCTGTTTGTTCCAAATCTATCACACTTAACTATCCTTTTTATAAAAATCTGAGGCTACAGGAAGCCAAGACAATCGAATGCACATGTGATCTTTTGCGTAAACGAACGTTTATGAAGATTAGAACACATGTGCTTTCGATTGGCTTGGCTCTTTAGTCTGTATGGGACTTGAGACTATAATGTTGAAATATTCATAGCTGCTAAGGTGGTCGAGTTGGATGACCTTCCAATTGCTTTGAGCAATTCCTTAACTCCTAATTGACCAAAGATGCGCTTCGATTAAAACACTCAAGAATAACACGGTCTACGATTAATTTACTTCAACCTGAAACGGCATCGCGAAGCTGCATTCAAATAGTTCGTAACAAGATTAACAGAGCAAATTGCTTTCAGCTCGAACACCAACACGCGCGATTATTCACTTGTCTGCATTTGAAAAAGAGATCCGGCCTGAAAAAGAATGTACGTGCGCGTCGCAGAAATCGCGGTTCTTCTAGAAAGTCGCGGCTAGCTGATATCGACTTCGTGTATTAATTCTAAGCTGTTTCGCGAATCCTAGAATCCTAGAATTGTCGCGACAGGACAAGCCTGCATTGATTCGACGAAAATTACCGCGATGACGTGGTCTTCGTGACTCATACAACTTCAATTGTCATGTATCACGCTGTAGTAAACATTACAAAAGCTCCGCAGGATGGGATAATTACGGAACAATGAAAATTACAAGAGGACCAACTTTTGAACTTTTGTTCAAAAGAAACGCGTAAATATATGAATATAAAATTAAAATTGTGTTACACGACCTATACTATATTCGAGAAGAATGCACTTTGTTCGAGTAGCAAAGTATAACGAAGGATCTCTTATCGCGCAATCCTTTATTTTTCAAGTAACGAATTACAAAGATGATCGAGCCACCAATGGTGCAATTCGTCGAGCGTTGAAACGCACTTGATGCAAATAATAATCGAGTATACCATTATTTTATTTAGCGAATTGGTAAATTGTTAGTGATCACACGGGTGGATCTGTAACAGAGCGATAGACGTACTCAATGATCCGTGGGTGGAACATTATGAGCCACGAAACACGCGATCGCACTTGCTACCAGGAAAACTTAAATATGTAACCTCCGTCGTGATATAATACGATTCGAGATTTTCTATTCGGCGAACGGTAACTTCCACCCGTAGTTCTGTAGATTTTGATTGAGTCATTGTGTTCCCCGCGATAAACGTGCGAATACGTAATCGCAGAGAAGATTCTATTTGGCGGTTCTATTCATTTCACGGTTTGCTGATTCTGTAGCTGGTAATTTCATTTCCGGCGGACAAAATGATTTCGCGTGAAATTAATTTATCAAGATCATTATTTTATGGATGATTCATATTTTTTATGTGAAATAAAATGATTAGCTAATTAGTCCCTGAGCAAACATGTGTTTGATATGATTGCTCTAAGAAACTTTGACCATGAATGTTTTTGAAATTATAAGAAAGCTCATCTCAACAGTTGATATCGGCGATGGAAAAGCGAGCAGACGGAGAACCGGAAGTTCCGGTGGATGGTTTGGTTCTGGATCACGCTCGAGGACAACCTCGCGTCCTCGCACCTCCCAAACGTCTCACGGTACCTCCCATCAGCAACCGAATCAAGGTAATTTTATTTTTCCACGCATTCGAAACCGCTTACACATTTCTTCCTCTTCCTATTTCCTGCAACCTTCTAACCAGAATAATGTACTTTCAAGTCAATGGCGGATTATCTATTGGGGTGACCCGCATGCAATTTATTTTAAGATATTTTTCAAGGACGTTTACCTCAAACAATACAAATTTTCTAATTCAAGTCATAATTTCGTAAAAAAACAAAAACACTTCTAGAATGTGTAGCGTTAATCATTAGTTTGAAAAGTAACACGTGTGGAGTTATCGATTGCTTATCCGCCTAGGTATTGAATTTCGCCTGACTCGTTTGATACTTAAGCTTGCAAACAATCATTTGCTTGCTTATGGATTACTGAAAAAACATTAATTTATATCTCTGTAGAATATATCTGCGAGTATCTGGAAATTGATCTCCATCTAGGTATTTATATCTATTATTTTTTTAAATTGACTACATGTATTGTGCAGCCTTGTATGAAAGTAATGAACTAACATGCGGGTCTCCAAAGTTAACGATTCCCCTATTTCTGGGCTAGGTAGTTTGCCCAGTTAATTGAATAACCAGCGTTCCTCTTGTAGGAGGATCTAGCCCGGATAAAATAGGATGGAATGTACCAGACAAAACTCCTACTGGAGCCAATAAGCCTGTGAAACCGTCCGCTCCTGTGAACGAGCACAGTGCCAAGGCCAGCGCGTCGAACGTGCAGTCTGGGTACACTCCTTCAGGTAAGAAATTGCGCCTCGAATCATAAACGGCTATTCGAGGTCACCATTTACAACATTTACGTCAGCAGATCGTTCATCGCTATGAAATATTCCCATAACTGAATTTCAACGAACGAGCTTGGACTACACGCAACCACGAGAATCAGGTTGCCTGATGCTAGGGGTGCTCCTGAAAGAAGTATGAAAAGGAATGTACAAATTAATTACGATAGCTTGAATTTAGCTTGAACTTAGAATCAGAGCATTTCTTTTTGTATAGTTTAAAATGGATTATAATTGTCCTTTATTACTTTCCTCTTCATGCTTCCTACTTAAGAGCCCTTAGAATCTGAAAGCGTGAATTCTAATAATTATATACTGAAAGAACTTGGACGTCTTAAGACTTATTATAATAAGAATAATTTTTAGGAGGATATCCTCGTCAACCGGCCAGCAATCCCTACCAGACAAACGCCAATTCTCAAGCAAGTCATCCATACAATCCTTCGGTAGGACAAAGCTATAACCCATCAGTGGGACAAGGTTACAATCCTGCAGCGGGTCATGGATACAATCCTTCAGTGGGTCAAGGTTACAATCCTTCGGTAGGAGGACATCCACCTTACGCAGGACACCCGTCTTACAATAATCCATCCGTTGGTGGATACAATCCTGGTTATGGACAGCCATCTTATGGGCAACCATCTTATGGGCAACCATCGTTCGGGCAGTCTTTCAGTCCATCCATGGGACAGGTACCTCAACAAACGGTCCTGTTGCAACAGTCATCGAGACCAGGGATCGGGCAACTCGCGAAGGAAGCATTTGTTTTCGCCGGTGTTAGCGCTGGTGTAAACGCTGCGGTAAACAGACTGATACCAGGAGGCATTTATGGCACCAGAGGTACTAGTAGTGGAAGTGCTGCGCCATCCCACACTGAGATTACGTACAACAACTATTACAACAATGGAACAGCTCCTGTTGCTGCTCCGGCTCTAAACTCTGAACCAGCTGCCACGGGAGCAGCAGCAGCTCCTGTTGCTGCACCAGCTGCTGCCGCTGCGCCAGCTCCTGCAGCTCAGCCGGCGGCTGAAGCACCACAGGCTGCTCAAAGTAACGCTGGTACCAACAGTGCACCACCTAGTAACTCTCAGGAGGCTGCGCAGAACAATCCTAACCCACTTGGTTTCGTGACTTCTAACGATGACATTAAAAAGCTAACGGAGAGCCTGTTTGAAAAAGAGAGCAACAGCGCTTTCAAGTACATAACAGTGAACTTGCAAGGACAGAAGAAGGATGACAGCATCACTGAC